ACTGATTATGCGCAGAAACACCCCCTGGAGAGCCACTTCATTCCATCCGGACTCTGCAGCTATGATACAGAATTTGACAGAGTACTCAGTCACACTGCAGGAGCCTCGATGAAGGGAGAGTAAGCGTTTGGTGGCCTCCTTTCCTTGAACAGGTCGAACACTCTCCTTAGTTCTGTGGTGAAGGAGGGAAAGGAGACACACAGAGCAGGTTGCCTGTCCAGATGGCTGTGACCCACACCAAAGCATTTCCTCTTAACATCCCCATCAGGTAAGAAATTTTAGCTTCGTCAGTGGCGTATAGTGGTCGCTGGCCAAACACTAGGGAACACTGGAGCAGGAAGGGCTTACATTTTCCCTGATCACCTGCATACCGTTTGGGTCGGAAACATGAGCTTCAGGTAGTGGGTGGACCGGGGAAGGTGGAGGTGAGGTTGCAGGCACGGACTGGCTGGGCTGGGGACTGGGAGACATCTGATAGTGTTGTGAAGAGATAAGGTTTAGCTGGTTACTGATTAGCGAGATCTGCCCTGACATGGCAAGAGTGCTTTCGGTAAGGTCCCAGAGCTGTTGGTCATGCTGTCCAGGGAGTATGCCTTGGCTTCAGAGTGCTGAATGCAAGGAATCTGGTTCTGCTGGGTCCACATTGGCCAGATCGTTTTGGTATGGCCTATGAGTGTTTTTGGACCCAAAAGCAGAACTCTAGGGAACACTTCAGGACAGAAGGTTAAATGGATTTTATTGAAGGATAAATGAAGGTAGAGATAGGTGGGGAAGAAGCATGGCTTGGTGTGTCTTTCGAGGCCAGGACTCGAATTCGGGTTGGTGGTGTGGGAGTCGGATGCTCTGTCTGCCAGCCACGGAGAAGGTGAAGTAAGGTTTGGAGTTGCAGAGTGCAAGCATGGCTAGTGATACTGTCAAGGTCAGGGCTTGAACTCAGGTTGGTAGTATAGGAAATAGATACTCTGTCCGTGGACCACAGGGAAGGTGAAGCAGGGCTGGGCTGAGCAGGCAGGGTGAGATATGAACCTGGAGCATAGGAGAAACAGGGTTACACAGGGAACAAAGCATGAAGAAACAAAAGATGAGCAAAAACTCAAGGAGGCCATTGCATAGGTACCACACAGGTAGATGGAACAATCGTCCTACGAATGATTGGAGAACCAGGGTTTTGAAGGGCTGCAGGCTGATGAGATGATGAAGAGCAGGGGCGTTTGCTGATTCAATCAGGAACGGGAGCAGAGTGGAGCACCACGCCCAGGGACACACACAAATACACACAAACAGGAAGAGAAAGAGAGAGAGAGGGACATACACAGGAAACACAAGAAAGGGGAAACTAGAGAAACACGAGGAAACAGGAAAACAACAGGAGCCAAGGCCCAGACTATGACAGACTGTTTGTAAAGGAGCTTTAAGAAATGCATGCTCACACTTTCCATTAGACTGGTAAGTCAGTGCAAGCAATATTGCTTTGGTTATTAGTCGCTTAGGTCACACACATTTTACTGACATAAAATATTCAAATGTTACAGTAGTCCTAAATTATAAATCTAAAATAAAAAAAAACAGTTGTCAATGCTTGAGAATTCATAAAGATCATTTACAAATTCCTGTTAAGAGAGAGGAAGTTGTGGTGTGCGTGTGTGTGTGTGTGTGTGTGCTTGTGTGTAAGAGGGTGATACTTAGCAGCATGTTGTATAAAACTGAGAACACTTTACTTTGAGAACTTGAGACTTAACATCAAGATGATCTTGATCTTTACATCAAGATGGCAGCGCGTGCACACGCTGTGGCTTCTCTCTCTCCCAACAGAACGGTGTTTTCGTGTTTTTTATCTTGTAAGTCGCAGTGTTATTCTAAGTATTCGTCACATCTATCTGTCTTTAAGCGTGTATACAGTCGTGAGTTTCTGCTCGACGTCGGTAGAACCACATTTTTAGAGTTAAACTCTGCGCACGCCGAAGAGCTGCGTGACCTCGGTCTGCTCCGGAGGTCTATTCCATCACCGACCCCCACTCCTGTATCTCGCCCACAGTGGATGCGCCACAAGCGGCGTGAGAGGAAGCAGAAGAGGGGTAAGCGCGGAGGTATCCGGGCTAGGCTAGCGGCTAACCCACACAAGCGGTAATAGTAATAGATCCATCTGAAAATCGCTAAGCAACATAGTTAAATTTATTACTTAGTCACATTAGATACAAAGCTTTCCAGAAAGGGTGTCTGGTCGAGATGTTTATGAACTCGAGTAAAGTAGCTGAGGAACTGTAGTTACTTTAGATTCGAAACTTCAGGAGAACTGGGCGTAGCGGAGTATAGGCAGGCAGGCAGGGAGGTGGACATGGAGCACAGGAAAAAAACAGGGTTACAGTACAGACACTGGGCAACTAAGATCTGAGCATAAACGTGAAAGGGGCCTTATCATTGATACTGCACTGGTAGCCAGAACTATCTGGTGATGATGACTGAAGAACAGGGGTTTATATGTGCTGCAGTCTGATGAGGAGATGGGAAGCAGATGTGTTCACTGAACAATTAGGAAGAGGAGCGATGTGGAGCGCCACGCCCAGAGACACACACACACACACACACACA